CTGAGGGGATGGAAGCAACAATAAGAGTAATGTTAAAGGAAGGTAACTAATGATGATAGTAATGGTTATTTGACAATCATAAAAAAAAACTATAATGATAGTGATATCAGTGGTGATGATAAGGATAAGAATAATAATAACTAAGGTGATGATGATAATAATTATAACTATGACAATAGAAGTAATACTTACTGATAACAACGACGGTAGCAAGGATAACAAAAATAACACCATAAAGAAAAAAAAAACAACTAATAACATAAAAAAAGCAAAACCGCTCTGATTCTCCGGCTGCAGAAAAAAACAGCATGGAGAAGAGGTCTAAGGAAAAAAAAAGCCTTCAGAAGAGGTCTAGGAGAATAAAGGCAGCCTGCAAAAGAGGTCTAGGGAAAAAATACAGCACGGAGAAAAGGTCTGGGGAAAAAAGGGTCCTTCAGAAAAGGTCTAGGGGAAAAAGCAAGTCTACAGAAGAGGTCTAGGGAAAAAAAACGGCTTGCTAAAGAGGCCTAAGGGAAAAAAAAACAGAAACTAAACCTGAAGAGGTTTAGAGGAAAAAAACCAGCCTGGAGGTGTCTAGGGGAAAAGCCAGCCTGCAGAAGAGGTGTAGAAGACGGCCTGCTGAAGAGGTCTAGGCGAAAAAAGCAAGCTTTGAGAAGGGGTCTAGGGGAAAAATGATGGCATGCTGAAGAGGTTTAAGGGGAAAAAGCCAGCCTGGAGAAGGGGTCTAGGGGAAAAAGAGGTCTAGGGGAAAAAGACAGCCTGCTAAAGAGGTCTAGAAAAAAAAAAACGGCCTGCTAAAGAAAAAAAAGGGGAAAAAAGGACATCTAGAGGGAAAAGCCAGCCTGTAAAATGGGCCTAGGGGGAAAAGGCGGCCTGCTGAAGAGGTCTAGGGAAAAAGAGCCAGCTAGTAGAAGAATTCTAGGGAAAAAAAGTTTAGGGAAAAAAGACATGCAGAAGGAGTCTACAGGAAAAAGGCGGCCTGCTGAAAAGGTCTAGGCGAAAAAAGCCAGCTTGGAGAAGGGGTCTAGGGAAAAAAGCCAACCTGCAGAAGGGGTCTAGGGGGAAAAGACAGCCTGCTAAAGAGTCCCAGGGAAAAAAAACCTGCTGAAGAGATTTAGGTGAAAAAAGCCGGCCTGGAGAAGTGGTCGAGGGGAAAAAGCCAGTCTGCAGAAAAGGTCTAGGGGGAAAAAAGGATACCCTGCAGAAGAGGCCTAGGGGATAAAAACATCCCGCAGAAGGGGTCTAAGGGAAAAAGCAAGCCTGTAGAAGGGGTCTAGGGGAAAAATACGGCATGCTGAAGAGGTCTAGGGGAAAAAAGCCAGCCAAGATAAGGGGTCTAAGAGAAAAAGACTTCCTGCAGATGGGGTCTAGGGGAAAAAACAGCCTGCAGAAGAGGTCTATGGGAAAAAGCCAGCCTGCAGAAGGGGTCTACGGGGAAAATGCATCCTGCAGAAGAGGTCTAGGGGAAAAAAGATGTGCTGAAGAGGTTTCGGGGGGAAAAGCCAGCCTGGAGAAGGTGTCTAGGGGAAAAAAGCCAGCCTTCAGAAGAGGTCTAGCGAAAAAGAAGTCTAGGGGAAAAGTCTAGAAGTCTAAAGAAGTCTAGGGGAAAATATCCAGCCTGGAGAAGGGGTCTAGAGGAAAAAGACATCCTGCTGAGGAAGTCAAGGGGAAAAAAGCCAGATGGGGTCTTGGGGAAAAATCATCCTGCAGAAGAAGGCTAGGGGAAAAAAGACGCCTTGCTGAAGAGGTCTAGGGAAAAAAAACGGCCTGCTGAAGAGGTTTAGGGGATAAAAGCTAGCCTGGAGAAAGGGTTTAGGGGACAAAGCCAGCATGCAGAGGAGTTCTAGGGGAAAAAGACGGTCTACTGAAAAGGGTAGGAGAAAAAAGCCAATCAAGAGAAGGAGTCATGGGGAAAAATACATCCTACAGAAGGGGTATAGGCGAAAAAGCCAGCTTGCAGAAGTCTATGGGAAAAAGACGGCCTGTTAAAGAGGTCTAGGGGAAAAAGACTGCAGAATGGGTCTTGGGGAAAAAAGCCAGCCTGCAGAAGGGGGGGTTTAGGGGGAAAACGCAGCCTGCTGAAGAGGTTTAGGGAAAAAACAACCTGGAGAAGGGGTCTTGGGGAAAAAAGCCAGCCTGATGAAGAGGTTTAGGGGAAAGAAGCGGCCTGCTGAAGAAGTTTAGGGGAAAAAGACGGCCTGCTAAAGTCAGAAGTGGTATAGGGGAAAAAGACGGCCTGCTGAAGAGGTGTAGGACCAAGAAAAGGGGTCTAGGGGAAAAAGACATTCTGCAGAAGGGGTCTAGGGGAAAAACGCTAGCCTGCAGAAGAGGTCTAGGGGAAAAAGACATCTTGCAGAAGGGGTCTAGAGGAAAAAAGACGGCCTGCTAAATAGGTCTAGGCGAAAAAAGCCAGCATGGAGAAGGGGTCTGGCGGAAAATAGGACTTCCTGCAGGAGGGGTCTAGGGGAAAAAAACATGCCTGCAGAAGAGGTCTAGGGGAAAAAGATATCTTGCAGAATGGGTCTAGGGGAAAAAGGCGGCCTACTGAAGAGGTTTAGGGGAAAAAAGACGGCCTGCTGAATAGGTTTGGGGAAAAAAAGCCAGCCTGGAGAAGGTGTCTAGGGGAAAGAGCCTGCAGAAGAGGTCTAGGGGAAAAAGATGGCCTGCTGATGAAGTTTAAGGAAAAAGACATCTTGCAGAAGGTGTCTAGGGGAAAAAAAGACGAAATAAACAGCATGCAGAAGGGGTCTAGGGATAAAGAAGGCCTGCAGAAGAAGTCTAAGGTAAAAAGACGGCCTGATGAAGAGGTCTAGGGGAAAAGAACAACCTGCAGAAGAGGTCTAGGGAAAAAAAAACAGCCTGAAGACGAGGTCTAAGGGAAAAAAGCCAGCTTGCAGAAGGGGTCTAGGGAAAAATAGACATCCTGCAGAAGAGGTCTACAAAAAAGAAAAAAACAAACAAAAAAACATCCTGCTAAGGAAGTCAATGGGAAAAAAAGCCAGCCTGCAGAAGGGGTCTAAAGGATAAAAGCCAACCTGCAGAAGAGGTCTAGGGGAAAAAGACAGCGTGCAGAAGAGGTCTAGGGGAAAAACCAGCCTGCAGAAGAGGTTTAGGGGAAAAAGACGGCTTGCTGAAGATGTTTAGGGAAAAAAGCCAGCCTGGAGAAGGGGTCTAGGGGAAAAGGCCAACCTGCAAAAGAGGTCTAGGGAAAAAACAGCATGCAGAAGAGGTCTAGGGAAAAAAAGACAGAAGAAGTCAAGGGGTAAAAGACGGCCTGCTGAAGAAGTCTAGAGGAAAAGGAAAGCCTGCAGAAGAGGTTTTAGGGAAAAAGGTTCAGGGGATAAAAAGACGCCTGCTAAAGAGGTCTAGGGGGAAAAGACGGCCTGCTGAAGAGGATTTGGGGAAAAGCCAGCCTGGAGGAAGGGTCATGCTGCAGAAGGGGTCTAGGGGAAAAAGCCAGCTTCAAGAAGAGGTTTAGGGGAAAAAGACTGCTAAAGCCTGTTGAAGAGGTCTAGGGGAAAAAGCCAGCCTAGAGAAGGGGTCTAGGGGAAAAAATGGCCTGCTGAAGAGGTCTAGGGAAAAAAGCCAGACTACAGAAGAAGTCTAGGGAAAAAAACATCGTGCACAAGAGGTCTAGGGGAAAAGGACAGCCTGCAGAGGAGGTCTAGGAATAAAACCCAGCCTGTAGAAGAGGTCTAAGGGAAAAAAGCCAACCTGCAGAAGAGGTCTAGGGGAAAAAGATGGCATGCTGAAGAGGTTTAGGGGATGAAAGGGTCTAGGGGACAAAGACAGCATGCAGAAGAGTTCTAGGGGAAAAAGACGGTCTGCTGAAAAGGGTAGGGGAAAAAAGCCAACCAAGAGAAGGGGTCATGGGGAAAAAGACATCCTGCAGAAGGGGTCTAGGTTAAAAGGCTAGCCTGCAGAAGAGGTCTAGGGGAAAAAGACATCCTGCAGAAGGGGTCTAGGGAAAAACAGACGGCCTGCTAAAAAGGTCTAGGGGAAAAAAACCCCGCCTGCTGAAGAGGTTTAGGGAAACCGCCTGGAGAAGAGGTCTAGGGGAGAAAGCCAGCCTGCAGAAGAGGTCTAGGGGAAAAAGACGGCCTGCCGAAGAGGTTTAGGGGAAAAAAGACGGCTTGCTAAAGTCAGAAGTGGTCTAGGGGAAAATAGTCAGCCTGCAGATGAGGTCTATGGGAAAAAGACGGCCTGCTGAAGAGGTCTAGGCGAAAAAAGCTAGCTTGGAGAAGGGGTCTAGGGGAAAAAGACAACCAACAGAAGGGGTCTAGGGAAAAAAACAACCTGCAGAAGGGGTCTAGTCGAAACAAACGGCTTGCTAAAGAGGCCTAGGAAAAAAGACTGTTGAAGAGGTTTAGGGGAAAAAGCCAGCCTGCAGAAGAGGTCTAGGGAAAAAAGGACATCCTGCAGAAGAGGTCTCGGGGAATGTAGACATCCTGCAGAAGAGGTCTAAGGGGGAAAAGCCAGCCTGCAGAAGAGGTCTAGGGGAAAAAAACGGGTTGCTGAAGAGGTCTAGGGTAAAAGGACAGCCTGCAGAAGAGGTCTAGGGGAAAAAGTAACCTGTAGAAGGGGTCGAAGGGAAAAAGCCAGGCTGAAGAAGAGGTCTAGGGGAAAATAGACATCCTGCAGAAGAGGTCTAGGGGAAAAAGACGGCCTGCTGAAGAGGTCTAGGGTAAAAGGACAGCCTGCAGAAGAGGTCTAGGGGAAAAAGCCAGCCTGCAGAAGAGGTCTAGGGGAAAAAAGGACATCCTGCAGAAAGGTCTCGGGGAAAAAACGCGCTGCTGAAGAGGTCTAGGGTAAAAGGACAACCTGGAGAAGAGGTCTAGGGGAAAAAGTCGGGCTGCAGAAGAGGTCTAGGGGAAAAAGATGGCCTGCTGATGAAGTTTAGGGGAAAAAGACATCGTAGAAGGTGTCTAGGGGAGAAAGATGGCCTAGCTGAAATTTATCGGAAAAAAAGCCAGCCTTGAGAGGTCTAGAGGAAAAGAGTT